GAACCACTCCTTGTGGGGACTATGATAGGTACAACCTGAATCCATAATCCACTCATTTGTTCAGAGGTGGATGGTAAGCTAACTAGACAGAAATCGACTCATCCTCTTCACGCTTAACAACGTATGCATCAGAAGCAGCTTTGCCCTCTTTCTTTGCAACTTCAGACATCTTTCTTCCAATGCCCTTTCTCAGACAAAAGACACATTGATCCCTATTGAGTTTTCCCTTAGAACGAGTCTTCCTCTTCTCTCCTTCTTACGACTCTGATTTTGACTCCGCCTTCTTGCAACAAGAGCTTTTGTTGACTCATCTCTATTTCCTTCTGATCCTCTTTCCGAATTTCAGATTGGACAGAGCAGAACAAACTTCTTCAAAGGACAATTTTTCTTCCCATGAAGAAGTGTAATACTAAGATAGTCTAACTATCTGGAAGAGACCAATTAACAACATAGCCTTATGCTCATCTTTGAATGTTCATCCAAATTTAACAAATCAGCAATTATCTGTTAAATGTACAATGGCTACTGATATTCGTACTGGTCTCAACTGAAGACGAAACAGTATTTTCATCAAATAGAGCCGATTCTCATTACTTCTCTTCATTGATTGTTTTCCAGCGCTTTTCATAACTTATTGGGAGAGTCTCTTTCATGAATGGATATTTTTGCTCTTTACAAAGACATGAGCGAATCACCACACGCTTTTACATTCAACCTCACCTAGTCTTTCTCATAGACATCTTCTGGTTTTCCTCCTCCAGAACAAATCTAGATCCTGCTGTACAAGCTATCCATACCTCATTCTGCCACAAGCCAAAATTATTTTGGCCATCAAATTTTTCAACATCATTTTGCATTTGAAACCGTTATCATCTACTGGTGCGGATGGTGGTGCCACGGACGGTGTGCCTCGGAGGATGAATCCTCGGACAATGATGCCATTTATGCTTACTCAATTGGCTTGGTAAATAAAGTTCCCAATAACCAAGCTCCACAAATTATTATTTCAATAGCTAACCAACAAATCAACAATAGCCCTAGGTAGTAGTAAGTGCTGAAATGATTAAATACGCACCAGGAAAATTCCCATGAAACAATGGAGGGGTCACAAATGGTCCCACTTAAAATCCAGTCTCCTTAGACTTTTATCTTCTTTTTGACAGAATTTTCTAGACATCATATAACCATACAAATAGCTACTCACTGTCCTAAACCTAGGCTCTGATACCAATTGTTATGCAACGGAAACATAAACTCTAACGCAGCTATTGAATATAAATAACAAGAAGTAAAGCATAATAAATAGCCAAAATTAAATACAAAAATAAAGAATACCAGGAATTAACAAGGTTCGGTATTGAAACCTACGTCCTCGGGCGCTGCAAAAGAAAACTCCACATCCCCAAACATTACAATATTTGGGCAATACAACAAATACCCAAAACAAAAGGAGATACAACAAAACTTACAAACTAAAGGGTCCTAAAGAAAGAACCCTAAACAAAAGAAGTATAATGGAATTACAACTTGGGATACAATTAACATTGATTTAGGTCCTTATATATAGGCCCCAAAAGTTTCCCACTTTTCAATCCTAATCAATGTGGGACAAACTAACTTTTTTTTTGGCCTATTATAAGTCCCAAAACCTTTCTCCATTATCATTTCTACCCCATATGATTTTGCTAAAAGCCATTTTTCAACACACATTACATAAGCCAACCCACACGCAGTGCAAAGTTACAGAAACAAATGTACACACGAGGTTGGATTAAAGATTTGAAAGGGCAAGAAATGGAAGCAGAAAAATGAATACTAGTCTCTTGAAGGTGGAAAATGAGAAACACTAGTTCAATGAAATTGTACTGAGAAATATTTTTATTGCTCAGACGCTTTAATTGCGCTGAGAACCCATTTCCATGTTCACCAATTTTGCATAATCAAAATTTTTTTTCTTTTTTTTTAATTTATTTATTTATTTTTTTTTTTTTGGTCCTTTCCAAGATTTGTGATAACATGAATTAATGTTAATGCTTCATTTTTTAAAACTAGTGGCTTATACCATCATTGGTTTCTTGTTATGATATCATTGTATGCTTCTGGTGGTGCAGGGATCAGATAATCAAACTCATTACAGCATAATTCTACAGAATGCGGAAACAGTTGCCTTAATATCTCCCTGCCAAGGTCTTATTTAGATATTAATTTCATTAATGAAAGTTCTGGATAAATTATTTACTTTCCTTGTCTTACGGATTTGAAACTTGCCCTCCTATCTCCCCCAGGAAATGGAGGAAAGAAAACAGCTATACCTGTGACCTCATTGAAGGTTGGGGACGAAGTTTTGCTGAGAGTACAAGGTGGTGCACGACATACAGGAATAGAAATTCAAGAATTCATAATGGAGAATTGAAGAAGCAAGATGACATATTCCTGCTAAATTTGTTCATGACTGTTGCCGATATAATGCCAAAGTGTGATATCTGTCCTACTGAAAGCCCTGCATCTGCATCTAAAAGACAACAGATAATAAAATTATTATGCAATAGTATGGCTATTTCTCCATAAGGTCGGCCTACTTTAATTACCATTTTTTTTTTCTCCAATCATACAAGTATCTCTATCTAAATGAAGTGCCAATACCAGTATCAGAAAAGCATGAGACCAAGAATTAGTTTCTTATATAGTTGAGGCAGGAAATAGCAGGACCTCATGAATAAAAATTCTTTTTAAGAATTCAATTCGACAGAAAACAGAAAACAAATATTTCACAAGCTAGTTGAAGGAAAAATGATGCTACGTAAGAGAGTGATTTGGCCAGGTATTTTCCTGCTATAAAATGTATAAATGGAAAAAACCAATGCCTTGACTGCTGTTATTTAGGGAAATCTAAGGTGGTCATTATAATTCGTAGTGTTTATGGAATCCTCGAGAAGATTTGGTCGTCACCATTACATGGCCCTTCGAAAAGTCCATGTAGACTAGATGTGACTTGAAGAACAATTTTCCAGCAACTCAACAATAAGTTCATTGACAAAATGTCACGACGGATGAATTTTATTAATGCTTGTCATCGTCAACTTCTAAGCATTAATGTATTGAAAGTTTTGGTTTTAAGAGCTGGAGTATACTAAGGAAAGGGAGAGACCAAAACAGATGTGAGAGAGATGTAGGGAGGGAAAATTTAAACTGAAGTTTTTGCTCTGTTTTTCATTCATAAAACAGGGGTGATTTATACAAAATATTTCCACCTAATATTACGAGGATATTTTGCAAATACATTCTTAACCATTCATCTAAAACTAATGCTGGTACTAAAGCCTTACAACCGGCTGCTATCACCTAAAGCCATCACATTACAATTCAAAAATCTAACTGCTCCATCATTCAAATTCAGCCCTGCAACCTTCAAACTGGTGACAAAAACCTGCAAACCTGCTGCCTATCTTCATGTTTTCAGTAAAACATCACTGCTATCAACAGAAAGGAACATCCCCTGATTTGGTCAAACACATCATAGATTAAAGACTAAGTTAAGAACTGTTGGTTTTGCTAGAGAACAAAGAAGAAAAAACTGATGATAGAGAGAGAAACATAGGCTGGAATTCATGCTCTGTTTTTCATTCAAAAAACGGGGATAGCTTTATACAAGAACCTGCCACTGTTCCAACTAAAGTTGCAAATTTAAAATTTAAACTAAGCACTTCAACTAATGCACGTACAAACATATCAAATACGCCATTTTGTCAACCTAATTCACCTAAACACATCACTGAAATATTTCTAAAACAGTGACCAAAAACAACTTCTGCATGCACAGCGGAAGTTTAAACGGTGGCGGCAAAACATGCAATTTGATTTCTGTCAACTTTATCATTTCCAGCATGATATCACAATCTTCAACAAGAACATCAACCCATAAAATTCAAGGGTCAATTAGTTAGTTGGCGGGCGGGGATCTTGATCATGAAAAAAAGAAAATTAATATGAGAAAGTACAAATTTCTACCCCGAGCAAGACTATAAACTTGATTTATGGCCTGAACAATACTGCAATTATTTTTGAAAAATCAATCACCTGCTGCTGCAGTTTGATTCTTGACTTACACTTAAACATGGCAGCTCGCATATCAAGATTTATTGTGGCACTAATCTGGGCTACATCTACTTTTGCTTATACTTTTGTTTCTGGATTGTCACAGCAAAAATTAGAAGCAAAAGCTTTGCTTGAAAGTGGGTGGTGCAGTAAATATACAATTGATACCTCAAGTTGCTGCAAGTGGCATGGTGTATTTTGCAATAAGGCTGGAAGCATTACATCCGTTTCTATACCATACAGGTTCCAGGGGGGTTACAAGTTCACACTCAACCTTTCTGCCTTCCCGAATCTGGTGTGGTTGGATCTTAGCAGAAATAAACTCACCGGGAGCATCCCTCATCAGATAGGAGCTCTTCTGAAACTCAGGTAACTTAACCTGTCATCAAATTATCTAACCGGTGAGCTACCCCAATCACTTGCAAAACCGTTGTTGCTAATACCGGAGAATGCAAAGAAAAGAAAGAAAAGCAACTGATAAAGTGAAGGGCAATCTCATGTACTATAAAATGAGTTTTACATCAACTAATAAAGCAAAAGGTTCACTGTTGACAACCACTTTGCAGAGACATATTTTACCCAACATTAATCTAAGCCATACATTAATTCCAACTTACAACAAACAATATAGACACATACCATATAACCTGGCAGTACAAAATCTAAACAATTACAAAATGAATCAACCAAGGCTGCCTCACAGATCAGACGGCAGATTGCAACATTTTTGGCGCCAGAAAATGTTCAAAAACAAGTTGACAAATAGCTACATTTCCAGCTAATTATCAGAATTTAACACTCCTCCTTGATAGTTGGCTGGAAACACCAAGTCTGAATCTGAATTCTTCAAACTTGGCTTTGGAGACAGCTATAGTCGTAATGTCAGCCAGTTGTAATTCACCCCTTCAGTGCATCAATTCCACTTCACCATTTTTTTCAGCCTCTCTCACTGCATGAAACTTCATTTTGATATGCTTTGTACGTCTATGATGCATCAGATTTTTGGCCATTGCTACAGAAGATTGGTTGTCACACATGATGGCAGTAGGCTTGACCTGCTTCAGCTTCAAGTCTTCAAGAATCTTTCTCAGCCAAATGGCTTGATTCACAGCAGCAGCATCAGATATATACTCTGCTTTTGCTATGGATTGAGCCACGGTTTCTTGCTTCCTGGAAAGCCAACAAATAGCACCACAATTTAAGAAAAATGCATATCTTGAAGTGCTCCTCATATCATATGTTAAACCAGCCCAGTCACTGTCAGAAAGACCAACTAACTTCAAGTTTTCTGATCTCTTGAACCACACCCCAAAGTCAGTGCTGCCCTTCACATATCTCAGCACCCTTTTTGCAGTCTTGAAATGTGTCTTGGTTGGTTGACTCATAAATCTAGACAATAAACTAGTGGCATACATTAAGTCTAGTCTGGTTGCTGTCAAGTATAGCAGGCAACCAATCAAGCTCCTGTATAATCCTTCATCAACCTTCTTAGCTTCATCACTCTTTGACAACTTCAGATTTGGAACCAATGGCAAGTCCACTGGTTTACAATTCTCGATGCAGAACTTCTTAAGGACTTCACTTGCATACTTCCTTTGATTCACAAAAATACCATCTACACATTGATCAATCTTCATCCCAAAGTATGACATTTCACCCAAGTCTGTCATTTCAAACTCACTGTGCATGGATTTTTTGAATTCCAACACTTGAGCTTGATTGCTTCCAATCACTAGAAGATCATCCACATATAAGGAAATGATCATTACATCATCTTCGGCTTCTCTAATGTATAGAGTGTGCTCATTTGGACTCCTCACAAAGTCTAAACTAAGCAGGTGGTCATTAATCCTGCTGTACCAGGCCCTTGGTGCCTGTTTTAGGCCATATAAGGCCATCTTCAGCAAGTAGACTTTTCCTTCTTCTCCTTGAATCTGATACCCTTCAGGTTGTTCAATATAAATTTCCTCATTCAACAAGCCATTCAAGAAAGCAGATTTAACATCCAATTGGTGAACTTTCCATGAAAATTGAGATGCCACAAAAGCAACAGTCTGATGGTGTCATGCCGGGCAACTGGTGCAAATGTCTACAGGAAATCCACTCCATATTGCTGAGCAAATCCTTTAACAACAAACCTAGCCTTATGCTTCAGAACTGAACCATTCGGATTTAACTTTTTTCTAAAAATCCATTTTACTTGGATCACCTTCCTGTTTTCTGGTATGTCCACAAGCTTCCAGGTCTGATTTTTTTTCAATCATGGCTAGCTCCTCCTTCATGGCAATCCTCCAGGGTTCTGACTTCACTGCTTCTGAGTAGCTTGAAGGTTCCATTTGTGCCAAATTGCATCTGTCATAGACATTAGCTAGAAACCTTGTTCCTCTGACAGCAACCTTTTCATCTGATTCATCTCCGGAATTTTCTTCAACCTAATCAGCTGGAGCTTCACTCAATTGAGGTTTTGCTTCTACATCAGCCTTACATTTATCCCAATTCCAAACTCCACTCTCATCAACTGTAACATCCCTGGAAATGAATATTTTCTTTGAGTTAGGAATATATATTCTATAAGCTTTAGATTGGCTGCTATAGCCAATAAAAATTCCTGTCAAAGCCTTATCCTCCAATTTTGTTCTTTTTGCAGCTGGTACCAAAACATAGCATATGCTTCCAAAAATTTTTAGATCATTCACTGCTGGCTTGACTCTAGTCCAGGCTTCAAATGGTGTTTGATTGATCAAAGCTTTAGTGGGGAGTCTGTTGAGCAAGTACACCCCTGTATTGACAGCCTCTGCCCAGAAGAATTTCGGAAGTATTTTCTCAGCCATCATACAACTTGCCATTTCCATAACAGTCCTGTTTCTCCTTTCACTAACTCTATTCTGCTGTGGAGTATAAGGGCTGCTAAATTGATGTCTGATTCCAGCCTCCTTGTAGATCATTTCAAACTCTTGAGAAGTGTATTCAGTACCATTGTCACTTCTCAAGGTTTTGATGGTCTTCCTTATTTGGTTTTCCACCAACTGTTTGAACTTTTTGAATACACTAGCCACCTAATTTTTCTGCCTTAGAAAGTAAACCCAGCACATCCTAGACCAATCATCTATGAACAACACAAAATATCTACTTCCATTTAGGGATAAAATTTTCATGGGACCACACACATCCAAGTGAACAAGCTGAATTTTTTCAGAAGCCCTCCAAGCTTGATTCACTGGAAAAGGCTTTCTACTCATCTTGCCTAATTGACATGCTTGGCAGACTCCTTTTGGTTCTTCAACAATGGGCATATTTTGAACTAAGTTTTTAGACTGAATTTCCCTTAGACTTCTATAATGTACATGGCCTAATCTCTTATTCCATATCTCAGTTTCATCTTCTCTAGCATTACATGCTTTGTGTGGAGTATTTCTCCAGATGATTGGAAAACTCCTCCCCACCATTCTTACTCTCATAATTTCACTTCCCTCATTGTCCAGGATTATGCAAGATTGATTTTGAAAATGCAATGCATAATCCTTTTCCAGCATCTGTCCCACACTAAGGAGACTTTGACTTATATCAAGTGCATAAAGTACATTGGAGATTAATTTCATACCTTTCGGTGTCTGGACAGCAACATCTCCTTTCCCTTTTGCTTCCACAAACTCTTAATTTCCCACTTTGATCCTTAACAGACGTGAGTGATCTAGGTTCACAAAACTCTGCAAATCTGGTGTCATGTGATGCGTACATCCACTGTCAATTAACCAGGTTTCATCACATGCTTGGATCAAACTGGATGAGGCCACAAATAACTGCTCTAACTCCTGTCCCGGGTGCTGTTCATCAGCTATCTGAGCTTGTTGTTGGGGCTACTCTCCCTTGCTTTTGCAGACTCTTTCGATATGGCCAAATTGTTTACAGGTCCTACATTGTATTCCTGGCCTGAACCAACATCTATTCTCTACATGTCCTTTCTTTTTACAGTGAGAACAAGGTGGAAGATTCTTCATTCCACCAGCCTTGTTCCACTGAACATTAGATATTTATTTTCCTTCTTGTAATTTCCTTGTGCAGACTTGCCCTTGTGAGCTGCTAGCATTGCCCCTTCATTCGCATCCTCTAACCTTAGGAGCCTTCTCTGCTCTTGAGCCTGCAGAGCATGGACCAGTTTAGTCAAAGTCATCTGAGTCAGGTCTTTTGAGTCCTCCAAAAATGAGATCTTTGCTTCAAACCTTTCCAACAGGCTTATTATCACCTTATCCACTATTCTTTTATCTGTCATCTCTACTCCAAGCAACCTGATTTTATTGACTATATTCATCAACCTATCAACATATTCCTTCACTTTCTCAGTCTCCTGAATTCTCAATGTCTCAAATTCCCTTCTCAAATTCAGCACCTGCATGTTTCTTGAAGTGTCACTCCCCATGAACTCCTCTCTTAACTTGTCCCAAGCTTCTTTTGCTGTTTCGCATGCCATGATCCTTGTAAAAACAAGGTTTGTAATAGCTGAGTGGATGTGGGACAAGGCTCTTGGAGCCTTTGAAACTTCCTCTTCATGCAGCCAGATTTGGTTGAGTGTGGGATTTGGTCCCAACTGAGGGGGTTGTTTCTCCTCCTCCACATACTGCTAGAGTCCTTGACCCCTTAGATATGCCTTCATTTTGACTGTCATATATGGTAATGTTCATCATTGAAGACATGAGGCAGAAGAGAAGCTGTTTGAGTGGCCATTGATTCAAGAAAACAGGTCTGATGCAAGATAGGTTTCCACAGAGATAGATAGGTTGTTCAGAAGAGAAGAAAAGGTTCAGATCTTTTAGCTCAAGTAACCAATCTCTGATACCATTTTGTTGTTGCTAATGCCGGAGAATGCAAAGAAAAGAAAGAAAAGCAACTGATAAAATGAGGGGTAATCTCATCTGTATTATAAAATGAGTTTTACATCAACTAATAAAGGAAAAGGTTCACTGTTGACAACCACTTTGCAGACATATTTTACCCAACATTAATCTAAGCCATACATTAATACCAACTTACAATAACAATATAGACACATCCCATATAACTTGGCAATACAAAATGAATCAACCAAGGTTGCCTCTCAGAGCAGACGGCAGATTGCAATACATTTTTTGCGCCAGAACATGTTCAAAAACTAGGGGTGGGATAAAAAATCTGAAAACCGAACCGAACCGAAACCGAACCGAAAATTAGGTTTTTTTACAAACCGGTTCGGTTTTCGGTTAGTGAAATTCAAAAAACTGGAAAACCGGTTCGGTTTGAAAAAATTGCAAACCGGTTTTTAAACTGGTTTTACCCTACATATAAAAGCAAAATTTTTTTTTTTCACTCACGCAGTCACGCTACAAGCCTACAACAGCACCATCCACATTCGTCTTTCACTCTCTCAGCCTGCAATCACCAAATCTGAAAATTTCAAGATTAAATCTCTGCACTTCGTCTGCATCGATCGTCATTCGCCATCACCCATCCACACTGTGAGCTATTTCGTCGTTCGCTAGCACCCAGCACTCCAACAGAGTCACGCCATTGTCCCACCGTGAACAGAGTCTTCTCTCCAAGCTTCGATCTGCCGAGCTTCACGTTCACAGTCAACAGATCACTCTCCAGTCAAGCCACCGTGAGGCGTGAGCAGACTCCACCGTGAGGCTTGAGCAGACTCCACCGTGAGGCTTAAGCAGACCCACCCTGAAGAGACGCCACCGTGAGCACTGAGCCACTGAGCAGACCCACTGTGAGCATACTCTTGAATCTTGATTTGAACAAGTTATTAGTTATATGCCATGCTATTTGAACTGTGGATACTCTTGAATCTTGATTTGAACTGTGTCAAGCGATGGTCCATTTGCAATGGCTAAAGATAGAACTGTGGATAAATGGATGAGTGTAAGCCGTAATGTTTGGTGATGGAGTGCATATTTTGCGTTTGTTTGGTATCTTAGTAGATATTGAAGTGCAAATGTTGATAATGTGGATAAATGGATGAGTGTAAGCCGTAAGGGGGCTATGAGTGTTATGATTTTAGACTTTCGGTGGAAGCATTTTGGATGGTTAAATGTTCATATGTTTTATTATTTTCATTTATAGCTGTTAATTGCAGATGATGATCTTCTTCGTGTGCCATTAACAAATCCGGGGAGTGCGTAATCAAGAAACTTCATTAACACCAACATTGTGGGATGCAGATGATTTATGTTATATTAAGTTTTTTTACTTTGTAATTTTATGTTATGTATTTGAGTTTATTAATGAATATTGACTATTCAATGATGTGTAATTGAATTCTTTATGTTTTTATTTCATATTTTGGATTCAGTATCTGCAAATAAGTAATTTAATATGTTAATGTATTTTTCATACAAAGAATACAACTATAATACAAAATAAAAGAGAAACATAATATGAAATTATATAGAAAATAATAAATATTTAAATTTAGGGGCTTGAATAAAACATTGAAGAATTTTATGGATTAAAAGGTAATTTGAAAACCGGTTAACCGGTAACCGAACCGAAAATTCGGTTCGGTTTATATTCAGTTTTTAACCGAAACCGGTCCGGTTTTCTGTTTGGATTTTCTCCAAAACCGAAAACCGGTTCGGTTTTCGGTTTGGATAAACCGGTTCGGTTAACCGGTTTATCCCACCCCTATCAAAAACAAGTTGACAAATTGCTACATTTCCAGCAAATTATCAGAACTTAACAAAAACTCACTGAATTAGAGAAGCTTGATATTTTTAACAATAAAATAAACGGTTCCGTTCTTCCAGGATTGGGGAATCTCAAGAAGCTTGTTTTCTTAAACTTGGGAAATAACTGACTTATTGGCATGATCCCTCCAACTCTTGGTCTTTTAACTGAGCCTACTGATTTGCTTCTGTTTTACAATCAAATTAAAGGTTCCATACCGGTAGAGATAGAATTGAAAGCATTACACATAATAATTAAACTTAGAATTAATGCTCAATAAGAATTAACAACAATAAAGTTAACACATATTCATAAATTGGGGCACATCTTTAGCCCTAGAAAAGGGATTTAGTTCATAATTGCAGTAATAAAAACAACCATTATATTAACAACATGAGTTCAAGAAAGAAAAAATAGAAAAACTTCTCTAATTAGCGAACAAGAAATGCAGGAATTCTGATCTCCAAAATAGCTAGTAACCGCTCTTTCTCCTTCTCTCATCTCCTAAAAACTAATTAAAGACCCTTATTTATAGTGCTAGGGTTTGGAGGTTACTTAGGAAAGAATTAAATGCCTTAACCCATTCAGATTCGAACTAGGAGAATGCAATAACCCAAACAGGCCCGTGAGCCAT